TGCTCCTTATACTTGACAAAATGGCAAAAATATGCATTTGGGAAAAATAAGATCTTCAGTAGATGGTGCTTTGGAAACTGTAATGCTATATGTACAAGAATGAGTTTAGATCTTATTCCCTCATTCTGCAAACATACAGACACAGTCAGACTGACAGACAGACATACAGACACACACACACACACACACACACACACACACACACCAATCACAAGTAGATCAGGAACCTCAACAGAAGACTCAAATCTATGAAACTTCTAAAGGTAACAGTAGTATGGAGGCACAGATAAGGATACCCTAATTAGGACTCATTCCACTCTGAAAACAAGGCCAATAATGCCTACAAAGAATTTTTTAAAAATTCAACATCAATAAAAGAAATAATTGGAGCAAAACCCATGTCATGGAACCCAAGAGTCCTACCAAAAAGAGGAAAACAAATGCCTCATCCCCAATTTTAAACTGTTCAACATTATTAGCCATCAGGGAAATAATGTAAAAACTACTTTTAGAGCTCATATTATTCCAGGTGCCATGGCCATCATTAAAAGAAAAATGTGTATGAAGTCTTGGGAAAAGGAAAGAAAATCTAAATATAAAGGGATAAGAAAGGAGTAGATGTAGGTAATTAGTAAAAGTATTGAAAGATATTATATGGCTAATTTTTTAAATTATAGGTCTGTCATAGAGTTTCGGTTTTGATGGTGGATAATTGAGTGAATTGAGATGATTATGAAAGTGTAACATTTAATGTGAAGATTCACAGCTTCTTTTTGAATATAAATTCTAACTGTATATAAATTCAGTAAGTTCTATGGAATTTGAGTATCATCAGTTTTGGTGTATTTTATTTCTTTATTGAAGTTTCTTTATTATAAAAATTTTAAATAAATTTTATAAAATTTTTTAAAAAGTTTTAAAAAGAAAAACCTGGAAGAAAAGAAATACTGGTGGGAGTGCACACTCACATAGTTACTTAAATCTCTGTGTACTTTACTCTAAAAGCTAAAAACAGATTTTCATATGACCGAGCTATCCAATATTAAGTATATACTCAAATTCCTTAGGTATATACTACAATATATCTAACTGTATATTAGTATGTACTTAGGTGTATACTACTACAAACTTAGGTGTATAATACTATATACTTAGATGTACACTACTATATACTTAAGTGCACACTACTATGCAGATAAGTATATAATACTACACATATTAGGTGTATGCTACTATGTAGTTAGGTGTATACTCCTATGTACTTAAGAATATACTCCTAACAGGTAGTTGAACATCTGTACTCATTACAACTCTACTCACAATAGCTAGGAATCAGGATCAGCCTGTGTTCCCTTCAACTGAAAAACAGATAATGAGTATCAAATGTAATTCCATTCAGCTATAAAAATAAAATTATGAACTTCTTAGAAAAGTAGATGGAACAGGAAAATATACATAATGAGGTAACCCAGACACAGATAGACAAACAGTATATGTTCTATGCCATATGAGTATCCTAAAATTTAGTGTGTTGAACTAGAAGTGTATATAGAGGACAGAAATCTAGAAAGAGGCCATTATAAGAAGAACAAGAAAAGGATACCTTAAGGAAAGAAACATTCCAGGACCCTTATAATATAGAAGTGGAGAGGATGAATACGAGAATGAGTTGGTATATGCAAAGACGGGATGGTAAGATGAAGTATATAATTAATCAAAACAAGAATATATGGTAATGCCTTATGGAAACTCACTAGTTTGAAAGCTTATTAATATACTAGACAAGGCACCTTGCATAGGTAGAGAATACTGCTTGTAGGGGTCATAGGTTATTAAATGAAAACTCTATCGCGAGTATTAGAAATCCTCCCTAGGATTTGTTTCCTGGAAAAAAGCCTGAGGATCCAAATAATACACACAAATGTCACTGTTGTCAGTTGCCCACAAAAAGTAGTTCTTAACACCCTATTGCTAAAGGCATCCTTATACAGCTATCATTGGACATAAAGAAAGCAAGTTGGGAGTGGTCTGGACTATGCCTTTCTGCTGAATATCCCTCACAGTGTTAGGCAGGCTGTTATTAGGAGATTCACATCTACACTTACTCAGCTATGGAAACTGTGATCTATACTTCAACCAACCTTACAAGATATGCTCATTGGTCAATAATGGCTATTAGGTTATGGAGTAAATAGCCATTTTTGATTGGTATTGAGAAGAGTTCAGAGATAGTCTAGTCAACATGGTCAAATGCTTAACTCGGGAAGGGAATAGATTCTAGTGTGTAAGCTATCTTTGTTACTCTGATAAATGGGCATGATGTGAACTTCTAACTATCTTCTAAATAGCCATGCTTTGTTTTCTTATATATATCTACCATCAGCATTATCAAAAGATGTTTCTTGTATTTGGAAGTGGTGATTTGAGACTCAAAACTAGCTAACATGCTTAGAACAAGTGATGTTTCAGTATTCACCATAAATGAGACATCTTTAGACCACAGTATAGACTTAGAAAATAACAAGAAAGAAGGTAAGAGAATAATATAAAAGCCTAAAGACAGAATAGAATGATGTGAAATATTGTCTTCTAGATATGACTTCGTCACTGCATTCTTGAACTTGTAGTAGCTGTGGTTACTGCTCAAGGTCTCCAAAAACTGGGCCTTTTAATATTATATCAAGGAGAGAGGAGGTGCTCCCAAACTCCTACTCATTTGTTAAGGATTTATAGGCAGTTAACAGTAGCAAGGGTCAGGGATCATGAGATACCCCTCCTTTCAACATCTATAAAATGTTAGTGATTGCTGGTGGAGAGTTTTTTTTCAGTAGAGTAGCTACTTTGTAAGGTTCCCATATTCCTGCAAATGACTCCTTGTCTTTGCTCCAGTGAGCAACTCCAGTAAAATTTACTGGGTCAAAATCGCACACATTAAGAAAAGGAATATGAAAGTAGAAAGGAGAGCTACTTGGGAAAAGGAACAGATCAGCAAGAATGGGAAAAAGGCAAGAATGATAAGTTGGCTATTATTGTTATGAAAATACCTGTACACATGCATGGAAATATTAATAATAAAACAATACATTAGATATAATCATTATATTTCAAAAAATTTGTAAATATAAAGAAGTATAAAGAATCCCTTCTCCTACCTCTGAAAAAATTTTTGAGACCAATAAGAGATGAAGATTTAAACTACTTAGAAAGACACATTTTAACAAAATGTTGGATGGTCAAGCTAATGTATATGATGTATAAGAAGCCATTACAAAAAAGACTAAGAAAATGCACAAATGAGAACCATGATAGGAAGAAAATAACATTTGTTATTTTTCTGTTGCTCTGATAAAACATCATGAAAAGGACAACTTAAGGAAGAGAGAGCTTGTCCATGGCAGGAAGAGCTATATAAATTGGAAGCTGGGATTTCATTTCCTTGGAAATGAGCAGGAAGCAGAGGGAGTATACTGGATGTGGTTTAAGAGTTTAACCTCTCAAAGCCCATCTTGAATGGAATACTTCCTCCAACAAAGCTGTGCCTCATAAACATTCTGGAAAAGTGTCACAAACTGGGAAACAAGTGTTGAAATGTGGGAGCCTATGTGGGCCATTTCTTACTCGAATGAAGACTGATGCATCCATATTAAGTTGGAAAGACTAGATACTCTAAATGGTGCTGAAATTGTGTGTCATGGGGCAAGCTGTGGCTGTTTCCTGTTCTTTGGTGGTGTGTGAGAACAGAAAGACTTCACAATCAGGTTTGAAATGGTGATGAGCCTTGGGCCCACAGACTGATTGAATACAGAGGAATAAAACAGAGCCTACAGAAGATACTAAATGGCTAGAGATTTAGACAAGTTAGGTAACCCACATGAAATTGTGGGTTTGAGCCTCAGCATCAATTAAATAAAGTACACAGTATGTGATTTTAGTCCTAGAACTAAAGAGGTAGCAGAAGGAGGAGGCAAGCTTCAAAATCATCCATGACTATATAGAGAGTTCCAGGCCAACCTAACCTATATCTCACTTTGTCTTCTTTAAAAAATTAGTCTCTGAGACCTGGAATTCGGAGACACCAGGTGGTGACTCTATCTGAGACTCTTCACAGTAGGAGTTATGGAGACTACAATGTCACCTCCTGTAGCCAAGTAGGAGTCCCAGTGGAAGGATAAGGACAGCAAGACATTCACAAAACATTTGGCCACAGAGTGTACTCCCTACAAGTTATGCAGGGACAAAGATCGAGCAGAGACCAAGAGAATGAGAAATCAATGACTAGACAAAATTAAGATAAGCATAATGAGCAAGAAAAAAATCTCTGACACTATTGATACTCTGATATGCTTGCAGAAAAGAGCCTAGTATTACTATGCTCTGAGACACTCCATCCAGCAGCTGACTAAAACAGATGTAGAAATCCACAACCAAATACTAGGTAGAGCTCTTGGATGCTTTGGGGAAAGTTGGGGAAAGAATTGAGGGACCCAAGAGGCTAAGAACTCCAGAAGAAGATCAACAGAGTCTACTAACCCAGACCTTTGGGTATTCTCAGAGACTGACCCACCAATCAAAAAGCTATCATGAGCTAGACACGGAGTACCAACACTTAAGGAGCAGATGTGTAGCTTAGTCTTCGTGAAGGTTCCCCAACAACTAAAGCTGGGGCTGTCCCAGAATTTGTTTTTTTTTTTGTCTGTAGATCCCACTCCCCTTACTGGATTGCTATGTCTGGCCTCAATGGGAGAGGATGTAACTAGTCCTGCAGATACTTGATGTGTCATGGTGGGGAGATACACTGGGGACAACTACCCCTTTTCAGAGAAGAGGGGAATGGGGAAAGTAGCTGTGGGAGGAGATATTGGGAAGAGAGAGATGCTCCATATTGGGATATAACATGAATAAATACATAAATGAATAAATTAATAAATTAATTAATTAATTAATTAATTAAAAAACATCTCTGAGTTTTCCCCATCACCCATAATTCACAGGATACTCACCATTGCCTTTCAGGAACCATTCAAAATAAGTCCCCATTGACTCTGGATTCTTCACAAGGCTTGTCTTACCCCAGAAAAAATAACCAGAAACAAGAACATCTCTGGGATTTCTGATGAGATAGATAGCCTTAAATGGAAAAATGTAGATGAAAGTCAATAGTCATTCCTTAACTTTTAATTGGCACAGTTTATAAGAAATGTCAGTAAACTATGTAAGGGTTTCTAAAACCATATATTATCTTTATTTAGGTAAGACATATACATGAGTGAAGAAGTACATAGTCATAATTCCCCTTTGTTAATTTTATTTGATTTATAAAAATGAAACAGCAAAATGACTAGTTCATTGATAGTATAAAATAATTCAAACCAGAGTGATTTGGCAGTTTTAAAGATCAAACATCTGGAAGACCAGTTAGTTCTCTTAACCACAGATTCATCTCTTCAGCCCCAAACATAACCATTCTTAATAAAAGCTACTTTGTGCTTTGTACCAATTATTCTAGAACTCATGTATTTAGACTGTAGTTTCCCCAGCCAAAAGTTTTCAAAATCCAGATAAGACACATGCATATATCTTAATGGTCAAAAATTCATTGTGATATTTTAAAGAGAGATTATACTAAGTTTGTCTTTGCAGTTCGAACATAAACTATTTATAGATTATATGGTGGAGGCACATACAAAGAACTTCCTTACTAACTTGGGGCTATGATTGGTCAGATCCTGGGTATCTCTGAATCCTTCTAGTGATTCTCTTTCAGTTTCATGGGATATTCCTTTGGCTACTGATCTCAATAGACAGCTAGAGACAGCATGACACTGTGTGTACCACTGGCTGCTGAATATTGATGCTTGGTCAGGCTGCTTCCCCAATGAGCAACTGTGGCTTGGGTGATTCACCCACAGGGCTTGGGGTACATGTTATAATTTAGACTGGCTTATTGGCTTTGATGAAAATAATAAAGTAATATCTACTGTACACAAGAGTTTGAACTCTGCCTGACCTATATATGCAGTTCCTGAATGTTTTAGTGTAATATTTCACTTTATTACTTAAAGCTGCCTAGAATCACTGTGTGATGGTCCACACTCTGTAACTTTAATGTAGTCTGAGGTGGGGAAACATCAGCATCACCTAGATAATGAATATTCCACCTTAAATTTCTGCAAGAGCTCCAAGGCCTGTCAGGGTAAAATAGGTTCAAAGAGAATTTGGTCAAAGAAAATCTCAACCACTGGACACTGACCTTGGCCTTGGAACTGAAGAGAGACTTGGGGAATAGATGGATAGGAAGATGGGAGCTCATGAGTCGTGGTCCTTCTTTATGTTTTAATACAGGATATCCTATATCAGTCTCTATCCAGGGGGCACGCTCCCAGATGGGCACAGATTGGATCCACGTGGGATCTCCCTTGGTCTGAATCAAGCAGACAATCTCAATCAGCCAGTTCGTTCCTGAATGAAAAGGAAAAGTAACAATCACTCATTTCAAGAGTACTTGTGAAAAAGCCTCAAGTAGAATATATACCCATACAATTTACAGTGCTGCCCATTTTCAAGCACATAGACTTGTGGTGTTCACAATGTCCACATGGTCTAAGTATAAAGTATATTCACTCAGCATATTCTCAAGTCTTTATTTTGCAAAAGTGAGACCTTAAACTTAGTAAACACCAACCTACCAATAGAATATCTCTTCCAGCTCTGGGTAATCATCATTCTACATTCTGGTGGAATAAATTTGACTATCCCAGTTATTTCACAGTGAAGTAATCATAGCATCTGTCCTATGATACTACATCCTTTAATTCAGTTCACTGCCATTGAGGTGCACCCAGGCTACAGCGTATAACTGAGTACGTCGTTTTAAGGTGAATAAATTCCCTTGGTATGTTTACCACACACACTTTCATTTGTGTTTATTTGATCATTTGTCAGTGAATTTTTTAGCTTCCTTCTCTTAGTTATTATATGGTTGTTTTTTTTCCTGTATTCTCACTGCATTTGGATTTGCAGTGTCATTGTGCTTTCTATATCAGAAGCCTAATTTTTATCCAATGTTCACTGCTTCTTCCACACAGCAAGTATCCTTTCACCAAACCACCATAAAATTGCTTTTAGATTTATTGAATTTTCAGACTTCTTACACTTCCTGGACAAGTCCATCATAATTCTATCTAGCACTCTCTTCTCTTAAACATGCCCTCACATAAATATCTTTATCTCTTGGTACTATTTCTTCTGTTTATTTCCATCACTCTCTCTCTTCTTCTATGTCTTCCCCACAGACAAATATAGCAATGCCAGATTTTGCCACAAGGTCTCCCATCATTGTTCTGGTGCCATAGCTGATTACTTCTGCCCACATAGGTCAGAGGAGAGGTCTTTCTCTGAGTGGCATACACACAAATCTTCATGACCACAAATCAGCACAAACAAATCATGACACACAAATCTTCATGACCATAAAACATCATTTTGGATATGTTGAACACTCTACTTATCATGCAAAGTGAATGAGGATCAAAGCCCTAACCTTCCTCATACAATTCAGAATCAGTCTTAGTTATGATCCTTACCTGACTTTGGGTAAGTCAATATGATCAAGTCTTCTTCTTTCAACACAAACTTATTACGAACATCTTCCACAACTTCTTTTTGAAACCCTATGGCAGGAAAAGCTATTCCTTCAAACCAATTATAGTCTGGCATCTTGAATAGCTCTTTGTAGGTGCTGCTAAGATTCCAGCCCTGGCCACCTCTTCAGCTTATAGCAAATGCTGAGAGGTAAAATTTATAGTGCAGGTAAAAAAAAAACATTAACATTCTCTAGTTTGTTGTGAAACTAGCTACTGATAGGAAAAAATAAATATTGTGATGAACAGTCAAAGTTTACTGCATTGAGCAATTTTGAACTCATACAAAGAACATTCTGCAGCATTTGTGAACCTGAGTTCATGACCCCAAACCAGAAAATCAGTAAGAAGCAATAGAACATAGAAATGCAGGTTAATTTCAAATATTTTCTAATACAATTTAGCTTTCAGAATGATTTTTATATGTGCAGAATAATGACAGAGATCATACAGAAACTTTCCATGGCAATTCTTTTTATTAAAAATAGTGATTTCTTTTGAGAAACTCATACTACATTAGCTGCTCTTCTTCTTCCCCTCAAAACACTCCCTCCCTGTCACATATTTATGTTGTCTTCTTTAAAATTTGTTGCCATTTATGTATGCACACATTTATAGACAACCTACTGAGTCCACTCCTCTGGGCTTGTATGTGATGTATCTTAAGGTGTGCAGTTGAGATTGGAAAATCAATGTGGGATTTCATCTCCATACACAGCTTATTCTCCATCTCTTAGAAGTCATTTATATAAAATATGTCTTCTTCTTGGGTAAAACAATATAGAATTTCCACTAGACTCTTCTGAGTGCCTTCTAGTGCCATTATTCTGGTTTGTTTAAGTGACTGTACTGTTAAGAGTTCATGTGTCTATTTTCTCTGTAGTGTCTAAAGTAGATGTATTCTATTAACAGGAATCTTGGGCTACTGGGGAATTTCTGTACCGTCTTCTGTGATTGTTTTCCCTGAGTGTTAATTTGAAAGGATTTATTGCAGATGAATCAGTTGGGATTGAGCACCTTACTGTTAATTATTATCTACACTTTGGCCCATTGTGGATCTTTGTGAGAGTCTCCATATGTCACAAAAAGAGATATCTTTGACAAGGTATGAGAACTGCATTTACCTCAGGTTTAAGGACAGGTATTTAAAAAACAGCTGAAAATTACACTGGTTTAGGGAACTGTTGGTAGTGAGCCTCTTGAGTTTTTGCCTTTTCCAGCCCCAGGTGTTTGTCCACGTTTATAGTACCAGACACGACATCTCTCTTTTTGAGTAGGCCTTAGGTCCAATTATATAGCCTTTGATTCCACCAAGATAAAAGTGCCACCATTGTGCCCCCATGAATGCCTTGCCAGTCAAGTCATTCTTGTGGCTCACAGGCTTGATACTTGCATAGTTTGTGTGATTGATTATTCATCTTTCTTGGCAGATTGAGTAGTATCTTACTTTATAAAAACCACCTCACTCGGACAATATTTGCAGGCTATTATATCTCAGTTTCTGCAAATTCTGTATTTGAAGTGGATTGTGGCTTCAGCAACATAATCTTATCTTCAAATTCTGACAGGCAAACAATGACAACAATAGCTGATGTTGTTTTTGGGATAGTGTCTCTTAGACTCTCCTGACCAACTACTTAAGAGAAAAATTTTCATGTACAATACTGGTGTTTTGTTATATAGTAAGCCATTCTTGGGGAGAACATTATCATTCCAAATGGCACAATATCTTTAAACCACATTTTAATGTTTCACATATATATGTGTATTATATGTGATTTTAAGATAAATATTGTATATGATTCTCTATGTCTTTTCAAACATTCTTGGTAGGAATCTGACATTAGGCTAGAACAAAGAAGTAATTACAGACAGGAATCTAAATCTTAAGCTATAACAATGAAATGGGCTTCAGGCATGAAAGTTATTTTGGGCTAGTACAGGGAAGTAGTAGGCTCAGATATTTTGGTTATCCTGAAAAGCTCTTAGAAATATTGATCATGGGAGTGATCATAGGACTCTTTTTATTGTCCTGCTTGTTCTTTGACTCTCTGGGTTTATTGTCTTGCTTGTTCCTTAAATATTTGCATTTAATATAGTGCTAGGTCTTAACCTAGAACTGACCTTAATACTTGCATGTAATTTAAATGGTATAAAAGCAAAAAAGGAAGAGGAGAGATGGGATAGGGAATTAATGGGGGGGGATTTCGAAGGGGAGGAACATCTGAAATATAAATAAATAAAATATTAAGTAAAAAAATCCAAAAAAGAGAAGAGAATGAAACTAGAACATTATTGAACTGTGAGAAGTTTTCCTCTGCCTCAGAAAGTAGTGACTAAATACATTTTTATACAACAGACAACAATTGCTATTGAGGAAACTGTCAACAGCTGCTGAGCAGGGAAACTCAGAGGGCACAAGATACTGTGTGGCCACCCTTGCTGACAATTAGGTCCAAAGCAGATCAGGATACCTAGATACAATTATCCTTCAAGATATCCTTTATCTTGATGTATTTAACAGATGCTGTTGTTGTTGTTGTTAGTATAAAATAACTCTAGTTTATTTTCAAAAAGAATTTTAATCTCAAAAAAATACATGATCACATGTTACAAAGTTTATCACAAGTTCACACATACACACACACACACACACACACACACACACACACACAGACTAAACAAATCATAAATTTAAAGAGAAGTATATAACAGAGAATGTTTACCTGCATATGTATTAGGAGTAATTATCTGGCTAAGCATCCATTACCTGTCACAGCTCCTTAGGTTCACTGAATGTTTAAAACCTAGTTATTAGTGAAGTTTTGTATAGATAAACCCAGTCAATATTTTATATTCTGTCCTAGCACCTGTAATAAATAGTTAGTTCCCTTTTTATGATCTTTGGTTAATTGTTTCACAACCTCTTGAAATATGTTCTCAGTAGGAGAATATCTGGTTACTATTTAAGAGCAATTAACTGGTGACATATTGATAGCAGGACTCTTTCCTAAAATGAGTTCCCTAACGGCCTTGCCAAATAAGGTCGAACTTGTCAAAGATTATATAATCATCTCAAGTAGGCCATCTCAGGAAGACCATCTGCTAGTTATTATCTTGTCCAATTATGGCTCCTGACAATCAAGAATTGAAAAATGGGACCTCATGAAACTTTCAAGCTTTAAGGCAAAGGATATAGTTAATAGGACAAATAGGCAAACTACAGATTGGGAAAACATCTTCACTAACTCCACATCTTAGGGAGGGTTAATATCAAAAATATATGAAGAACTCAAAAAGCTAACATCCAAAAAACAAAAAAAAATCTAATAAAAAAGGGTGTAGAGATAAACAGAGAATTTACAACAGAGGAGTCTGAAATGGCCAAGAAGCACTTACTGAAGTCCTTAAAGTCTTTAGTGATTGGGGAAATGCAAATCACAGAGACCCTGAGATTACTCCTTACATCAATCAATATGGCTAAGATAAAAACTCAGGTGACAGAATGTACTGAGGAGGATGTGGAGAAAAAGAAACACTTCTACATTGGTTATGGGATTGGGAACTAGAAAAAACAGTCTAGAAATCAATCTGGAAGTTCCTCAGAAAATTGTAAATAGATCTACCTGAAGACCCAGCTATACCACTCTTGTGCATATACTCAAAAGAAGCCCTACCATGCCACAGGATCATGAGCTACACTATGTTCACCAGCAGCCGTATTGTGACAGTCAGAAGCTGAATTCAACCCAGAGGTCCAACAACAGAAAGATGGATACAGGAAATGTGGTTCATTTACAAACTGGAATACTAGTCAGCTATTTAAAAACAGGACATTATGAGTTTTGTAGGCAAATGAATCGAACTAGAAAATATTATCCCAAGTAAGGTAACTCAGACCCAATAGGATATGCACGGTATGAATTCACTAATAAGTGGATACTAGCTAAAAAAAAATTACAGAATATGCAGGATGCAATCCACATTATTCAAGAAAGTTAACAAGCCAGAGCACCTAATTGAGGATACTTCAGTTACACTTTGAAGGGAGAGGAAAGCAATCATGGGGGTAGAGGGAAGAAGGGAACTATATAGGAGAGGAGAAGGGAAGGGAAAAGTGGAATATGATAAGATATTGAGAGTGTGAATAAGAGTAAAACCCTGACGGCCAGCAGAAGGAATGAAAATATTCAACCTTAGGGGTGGGAGGTAGGAAGACCCTCTAGAATGTACCTATGACCTGGGAGGTGAGAGAATGTCAGGACTCAAAGAGAGGGGCCTTAGATGAAGTGCCCAACACTTGGGAGTGGGAACTTGTAGAGTCCACTTCTAGCCAAAAGAAAGAACATGTCATCAGTGTGAGATGGTCTTCCTATCCCACAGTCATAAACTCTGACCCAGAATTGCTCATTTCTAAAATATGCAGGGACAAAAATGGAGAATAAAACTGAATGAAAAGAGATTCAGTGACTTGTCCAACTTGAGTCCATCTCAAGGGGAAGATCTGAGGCCTTATACTGTCACTGATGCTATATGTCCTTACAGACTGGGGCCTAGCATGGCTGTCCTCTGAGAGGCCCAACAAGCAGCTGAATGAGCAGATGTAGATATTGACACCCAATTAATAAATTGAAGTTAGTGACCCCTGTGGTTGAATCAGAGAAATATTGGAAGAAGCTTAGTAGGAGGGCAACCCCACAGAAACACCAGCAGTCTCAAATAATCCAGACGCGGGGCAATGTCTCAGATACAGACCAACAACCAGGCATCATACACTAGATAGTATCAGGACCCCAATACATACATATAAAACCAGAAACTGCCTGGTCTGGATTCAGTGAGAGAAGATTCATGTAACCCCCAAGAGGCTTGAAGACCCAGGGAGTATGGATGCTAGGGTGTAGGTATCATGGGGAGTTGTTGAGTTGGGGGTTGGGGGCAGGCATCCTTTTGGAGACTGGAGGAGAAAGAATGAGATGTGGAATTGTAGGAGGGTTGATCTTGAGGGGGATAATGACTGGACTGTAAAAAAAAACAAGTTAATAATAAAAATTTAAAAATTAAAAATAAAAAAATGGAAAAGAAGATGCATTGCCACCAGATATTATGGAAGGATTTTCTGTATTTAGGGTTCCTCTTTTAAGATAACT